GTACACCATCCCCACCATCTTCTTCTGCTTCCAGCACACCTAGCTGCCCTCCTGCCACTTTTCCACACTGCCCCAGTGGCAAGCCAGCCCACCCCTGGGTGGCATCAGGTGTCCTGGCAGCCACAGGTGCCTGGTGAAGGCAGAAGCAGTGAGGGTCCAGATCCTTTTTTTTGGCACACCTTTCCCACAGCCAGGGGGTGAGTTGACAGATTAATGATTGCAATGTTCCAAGTTGCAACATTGCAAACTCAATTACAATCAGGATGTGGCTTAGTTTGTGACGATGCATACTCATTTAAAGCCCCTGCAAAATGGGTATGTGTAAAGTGTGATGCCATTAAGCCATGCAAAGGGAAATTTTCATCAAGTGTACATCATAACAGCCTCACCTGTAAAAGCCCACAGGGGGCCTTGAAGGAAACTTTGTCACAAACAGGCTTTTAGAAAACAATTAACCCTTGTTGTTTCCTGAACCATTGTTGTAATGCAATATCTACTTTACCTACATGACAATTCCTAAAAGCAAACCTCCAAATATAGTTTTCTAGCCATCAAACACCAGGGTAACACTGAAGTCACCAGTTTTTCTCCCATGGGAACTCTCAGCAGCTGTGGAATGAACAGGGGCAGTAGCGGCCTTAGGGGAGGGCAAACCAGGTGACCACCCCACACATTAGGGGGTCCAAATTTTTTGGGGGGTGAAATTTTGTAAGGAAGTGGCTCTAAGGGGCCCCAAATGACTCTCTTTCCTCTCTGTAGCAAAGAGCTCCAGACTGTAGTGGGCATATAGCTCTGCTAGGGGGTTTCTAGACGGAAGCAGAGCCTACAGGGAGTGACAAGAAGGGCTTATCAGCAAAGAAAAGCATGTCCTGCAGACAGACAGGTGTGGGGTGAAATAAGACCTTGCACAAGTCAGGCTGAGACAGACTTTGCAAAGGAAATGACATCAAAGAACAAAAGGTGCTTCTGCCACACAAACAACAAAAGTGGGACCATGATGCAGTAAAGAGGGAATCTTCTTCTTCTTCTTCTTCTTGTGTCTCTGCACGACATTTGGCCATTTTGTTACCCATTCTAGTACTCATTTATTGTACCTTCCCAGTCTTTCATTGTACATGCACCTTCAAGCAGTGGCATTGCAATGTGGATTTTGTAGTCTGACGCTCTGTGCCACAGTCACAGGTGGTTGGAAAAATGGTATAGCCCCACTTCTCCATTAGTTCCTTGGAGCATCCAATTCTGGTACATGAGGGGTTGAGACATCACCAGCATCACCAATCATATTTCCTTTTACGACCAGGTAACCTGGACAAGGGAGAAGAGGTTGATGTTGTATATCTTGACTTAAAATAAGCCTTTGATCTTGTATCCCATGATCCCTCTTAGCAAAACTGGCCAAGTGCGGCCTCGGCTTCACCACGATCTGCTGGCTGGGGAATTGGCTCTGTGGTTGGGCCCAGAGGGTGGTGGTTGACGGAAGTCAATTGTCGTGGTGCCCTGTGACCAGTGGGGTCCCTCAAAGCTCTGTCCTTTGGCCAACACTAGTCAACATCTTCAATAATGATGTGGACATTGGTATCAAAAGTGGAATGGCCAAGTTCACCGATGACACCAAACTTCGGGGTAAAGTGTCCACACCAGAGGACAGGAGGGCGATCCAGGCTGACCTTGACAGGCTCAGGAAATGGGCAGACAAGAACCTGATGGTGTTTAACACTGTAAAATGCAAGGTTCTCCACCTTGGGAGGAAAAGCCTGCAGCATCCTTATAGGCTCAGCAGTGCTACGCTGGCTAGCACTTTGGACGAAAGGGACCTGGGGTCATGATTGACCACAAGATGAACATGAGCTGTCAGTGTGATGCTGCAGCTAGTAAAGTAAGCAAAATGCTGGCTTGCATCCATAGATGTCCCAGGACATCATTCTCCCCTTGTACTCGGCCTTGGTGAGGTTGCAGCTAGAATACTGTGTCCAGTTTTGGGCTCCACAATTCAAAAAAGGATGTGGAGAAGCTTGAGAGAGTTCTGAGAAGGGCCACGTGTGTGATCAGAGGGCAGGAAAACAGACCTAACGACAACAGGCTGAGAGCTATGGGACTCTTCAGCCTGGAAAAGCGCAGGATCAGGAATGATGTGGTGGCTGCCTATAATTTTATCAGGGGTGCTCACCAGGATCTGGGGGACATCTGTGCACTAGAGCGCCCCAAGGGATGACAAGCTCAAATGGTCACAAACTCCTCTGCGACCGTTTCAGGCTGGATGTAAGGAATGTGGGAGAAATCAAACTTCACGTTGTGGTTGTATCAGAATTGACAGTACCATCTTGGTTTATTTAAAGCTACACAAGTGATCACGAGGAGGGTTCTCAAAGGAACCCTGACCTCTACAAGTTCACAAGCGTATTTATACTTTAGACAGTGAGAAAAGATGAAGGGTTCAGACAAAGCAACCTTGAAAGAAACAGGAAGAAGTTGATCATTCGTTTGTCACACGTAAGCAGTTTACTTTTTCAGAAAAAACATTGTTTTGGGAACAGCTATCAGTTTTGGGTTTTTTTGGTTCCTGGAAAGGAGGAGGTTAACATCTGCACACAGACAAAACAAGGTATGAAGGTTTTTCCTTATCTTAGAACATTTTAAAACACATAGCATCAGCATCAGCATCTTTTTCTCTTCTCTTTCTCTCTCTTCTTAGTCAAGTAAGAGGCCTGGTTACACTTATTTCCACATTCCCCCCTTTTGGGCCCTTTTTGGCCCAACATATTAGATATTTATCGCCATGAGTCTTTTAACTTCTAATTTTTCTTTCTCTTTACCTTTTCACTGTTTTAACATACATATCACAAAAGTCGGTCCAATTAAGGGATAAAGCAATTATGGGCACCCTTGTTATTGTACTAGGAGGCAAGTGGGAACATACTCAACGTTTAGAAACATTTAAATTCTTTACATATTGATAAGACAGTTGAAGAAAAGCATTTTTGTGAGCATGCCAGTGCGGAAGTGATTTTTTTTTTTTTACCTTAACAGCTTCTATCATCCCCCCTTTGCTCACGTGTGCTATGCTATGGTGTATGCGAGCAAGATAGGGAAGAAGGACCATTGGGGCAACCAGGTGGCCATCCAGGGAGAACCACAAATGGTCAGGGTGTAACACACACCCAGCCAGTCTCCACATATATTTTTCTGGTTCTGGAGTCTGATCTTGGAGGAGGGCAACGTCGTGAAGACTTGCCAATGGAGACTGGTTAGTTGAGATAGACAAAAACACAGGTGTAACCTGGGGAGTGGAAATAGCCACAGCTTTGGCAGCGGAGTCTGCCAGAGCATTTCTATGTGTAACATCATCATAAGGGTTCTGGTGATCTTGGCATTTAATAATAGCAGCAGCAGAAGGTAACTGTAAAACATTTAACAAGGCATTTACATATGGACCATTATTAATTTTGGCACCTCCTGACGTGAGGAAGCCTCTTTGCTTCCAAAATTGACCATAATCATGTACAATACCAAAGGCGTAGCGAGAATCAGTGTAAACATTAACAGAGGTACTAGAGGCTAGGGTGCAAGCCCTGGTAAGGGCCACAAGCTCAGCAACTTGAGCTGAATACACATTGGGCAAGTGATGGCTTTCTATAACATCATATTGGGAACATACTGCATATCCTGCAACAAGAGAACTTTTTGAGGTTCTTTGACACGATCCATCAACATAAAATACTAGATTTGGGTTTTGCAAGGGGGTGTCCTTTAGATCAGTGTGGGGCATTGTTAGGTGGGCAGTAACAGCAATACAATCGTGGGGTTCACCATCTGAAGGAGCAGGCAACTGGGAGGCAGGGTTTAAAACAGGGCATCTAGTTAAAGTAATATTTCTAGCAGAAAGAAGCAAAATTTCATACTTAGTCAAGCTAGCATTTGAAAGGTGTTGAGTTTTAGTTTTTAGTAAAAGGGCTGCTACAGCGTGTGGGACAGCAACAGTAAGAGGAGTCCAAGCCCCCAAGGTCTGGAATAGCCTGCCACCAGAGGTGGTTCAAGCACTTACTTTGAACACCTTCAAGAGAAATTTGGATGTTTATCTTGCTGGGATCCTATGGTCCCTGTTGACTTCCTGCCCCTGGGGCAGGGGGCTGGACTCGATGATCTTCCATGGTCCCTTCCAGCCCTAACGTCTATGAAATCTATGAACATCACATTTGCTATGGTTCGTCAGCCCCTGGTGCTAAGAACTTGGCTGTTTGAATGTCCATTTTTACACTGTCAGGTATTTTCTTCAGCCTCCATTTTGAAATCTGTAGTCATGTCTCCTTGGGTGTGGCATCGGCAGTTTTGGGACTGGTGAGGAAGTTCTTGCTTGACTTCAAACCTTAGCGAGCTATGGGATGGTCGCACAGCAGGCGTCTCACATCTTCACCCTTCTATCCAGCTAGGACGGGGTAGAGATGAAAGATGATCTAGGGAGGACCCAAGGGCTAAGTGGGTGCTTTGCCTCTGGGGTCAGTGGTGATCCACCATAGATGCGGCAGGCGAAGTTAGGGTGGACAACAGGGATGAGGGCTCAGATGTGGAAAAAGCCAGAATGAAAGAGAGACAAAGCATGCAGCACTTGATGCTCCCTTGTTGGAGGGATCAGTGATCGCTGTCTCCAGGCCTGCTGCGGCCCAGAAATGTGAAAGAACTGGCACAGGCATTGCAGGCTCTGGGCTGACTCTCCGGCCCCTGGGATGCGCCTGTAGGCAGAGGGCAGTGGGACAAGCCTGGTGAGGACACCTGGACAGTGGGGAGGTGCTGCAGGCTGGCATGCAATAGATATGACAGTCATGAACCTGGCCCAGCAGCGCTGGGTCCTAGTGCTTGTGCTAGGCTCCTGTCCATACTTGACTAGGGGTGCAGTGGGATGGGGAGATCTTGCAGGCAGGAGCTCTGTCCTCACTCCAGCAGGGGCTCTGGGGAAGTCCTACCCCGTGTGTGCTGGGCTGATGACTCTGACCCTCTCTTGGCAGGTCGTGGGGCCAGAGTCTGCTCCTAGAGCACAAGGCCAGAAGAGTGCCCTGTGGGCAGCCAGTCTGACCTCCTGGAGGCAACAGACCTCTGGGCTTCATTGGGCAGGCTCAGGGTTGCTGTCAGCACCACCGGGCAGGAGGATCAGCCTTCACACGCCCCCATGTTGTGTCTTGTTATCATTGCAGCTCACGCCCTTGGCCTAGCTGGTGAGTCCTCTCATCTCTGATTTTCCTGCACAAATTCCAGGCTCCAGACCCCCTGGCGCCTGGCCATCCCTGGGCACTGGGGGGAGGCAGGGAGGAAGGGGAGCTGCTGAGAGACAATCCTACTGCCTCTGGTACTGGACATGTCCCATTCGCGGGAAGGGGAACTCCCGTTATACTTCCCCAGTGCTGCCTGCAGCAGGACAGTATCCAGGCACTGGGGACACTGCTGCGGCTTTTCCCCACTGCACCCTTGCACTAGGCCAGTGTTTCCCAACCAGTGCGCCGCGGCACAAAAGTGTGCCATCAGAAATGAACAGGTGTGCCGCAGAATTTTGCCATGGCAATGAGCTACAATGAGCTACAGTAGGTATGAGGATGGGGAATGCCTTAACAGGTGCGCCATGAAAAAACAATTTATGTAAGTGTGCCTTGGGCTGGAAAAGGTTGGGAAACACTGCACTAGGCAATAGCTGGCACTTGGCAGGAACGCCGGCTCCTTTGAGCTCCTTTGAAATCCCAGCCTAGGAGTGTAACCCTGGCCAGTGCCCTGGCTCTGTTCCCTGTGTGCAGGCTTGGGCTCATCCCACCCACCTGTGCACTGAATTCTCCTTTTCCTGCTCCCTCCCTCCCCGTCTGCCTGGCCCCAGCAGCTGCACAGAAGGCCGTGGTGGCCCTGGACCCCCCCTGGAGCACCGTGTTTGAGGGGGACAGCGTCACTCTGACGTGCAGTGGATCCCGCTCTTCTGGAAGCACCCGCACCTCTTGGTATTTTACTTCTAGGGAGCATGTCTCCGAATCAATAGAAAGAAACAGACTCCAAATTAAAGCTGCACAAGTGAAAGACACAGGCAAATACCAGTGCGAGACCCATGGCTCCACACGCAGTGACCCCGTCCAGCTGACTGTCTCTCGTGGTGAGTGCCCTCAGGTGGGCTCCATCCTGCTCTGCACCCACTGCTGGGACCCACAGGCCTCCTGCGGTGGCAGTCAGGGGCAGTTGTGTTGGTCCTGCCCCCGCGCCCCCCTAACCCCCAGCTCCCTCAGGGCTCTCCAGGGCCCAACCAAGAAGGTCTCTCCAGCTGCAGGACAGACGCTATGGCATACTGTCCCAGTTTGCTAAAGACTAGGCAGCAATGGGACAGGTGCTTCCTGCTCTGGCAGCGCAGGGTTGTGGGGGCTGTGCCCATGTAGGGGGATCAGTCCGTAGGACAGGACTGGGAGCTGGGTTTGCTCCCAGGGCCGTGGTGTGGACAGGACAGCCAGTATGGCCTCTGCCTGGGGGAGCTGCCAGCCAGTGCCCTGTTGTGCTGCCTTGGGGAGCTGCCAGGTGGTGCCATGTCACCTAGTCTCGGAACCGGTCACTCATCTCCTGCCTGCCCCTTCACTCGGCCTGGTCTTGTCCCGGCGGCCGTTGTGTGGCTCTCATGCCCCTGCCTCAGGGCACGTTCCTCTGATTCTGCTCCAACACTAGAGGGGACTCTGGGCTGTTTTCAATGGGGCCCAGGGCACTTTTCTGGGTTTCTGCCCCTCCCTCACTTCGGTGGATAACCTGCCTTGCTCTGTGTAGCCTGCAGCCCCCGTCCTGCCGGGCAGCGCATGCCGAGGAGTGCGGTACGTCATGCAAGGGTCCCTGCAGCTCCTGCTCGCTGCGTCTCTCTTTCAGGCTGGCTGATTCTCCAGGCCCCGCATTATGCAGTGTTCGAGGGGGACCGGCTGGTTCTGAGATGTCGTGGGCGGGGGTGGGATGAGATACTACAGAGATGGAGCAGACATCACACCAAGGCCTGTTCAGCCCAGTTATACTATTGATCAAGCAAAGACAACAGACGGTGGCAGATACCAATGTAAAGGAGAAGTGTTCTCTGGTTCTGTTTATTATACACATGCCTCTAATGAGGTGGTGGTTCTTGTCCGAGGTAAGGCACTGCTGGGGGTGTTGGGCCGGGCAGAGATGAGGCAGCCCCAGGACGCAGGGCAGGAGGGCACTGACCATGGGAGGGGGAAGGATCGCTTGGGCTGGATTGCCCCCGGTGCCTCTAGTCCCATTGCAGTCTGCCCCTGGGTTCACTGTGGTGCCACCGCCCTGACTGCAGCAGAGCCAGGCCAAGGGGGAGGTGAGACCAGATCAGAGGCCCTGATCTCCAGCTGTCCGAGCAGAAACCTCAGCTCTAGAGATGGGGACAGGCAAAGCACACGTGGTGGACAACAGTGCGAGAGCGACAGCAGCACAATGAGCGCTCATGCAGGGCCCACCTTACGTAGCAGAGGGAGCAGCATGTTGCTGGCGAGGCTCCTGATGTGGTGACCAGGGCTGAGACTTGCACTGGAGCCGGCCCTGAAACGTGGCTCTCCCCACAGTGAAACCCGCCCAGCCCCACACCCAGCCCCAGCCCCACACGTCACACGGAGCCGACCAGGGGGATGAACTGCCTGGCAGCTCTGGGATGCTCTGCCCTTCCAGCAGCCCGAGTCCTGGCCCTGCCTCCCCTTGTCCCGGGTTTGTGGGACCGTCCACAGGAGAGACACATTTCGTCTCCTGAGCCTAGACGCTCGCTGGGCTGAGAGGGGCTTGTGGAGCAGAGGTTTGCAATGTGGGGACAGACTCCCTTGACTCCTGGGACTCTCCTGAGCCTGCCCATGGACTCTGAGACTGAACGCTGTGGGGTGACCCAGTCTGGTGTCTTTCTAGAGCTGTTTTCAACACCCGAGCTGAGGGTGGCCGGCTCAGCAGAAATGAGGGAAGGAAGCTCGCTGGCCCTGAGCTGTGTCACGCAGCCCAGCCCCGAGAAACCAGACCTACGGCTTCAGTACTCCTTCTACAACAACAGCACGGTCGTGAGAGAGCCAACGAGCTCCCCCGAGTACCAGGTCCCAGAGGCAGGGCTGGCAGACTCGGGACCCTACTCCTGTGTGGTGCAGGCGGTGACCTCAAGTGTCCAGAAACGGAGCCCCGAGCGAGACATCGAGGTTAAACGTGAGTGTCGGTGCCAGGGATTGTGGGCCAGGGTCTGTGGATCCAATAGGACAGGGGTGTTGAACTCTCCCTGGGCCCCAGCCTGGATCTAGACCGTGGAGGCTTCTCCCAGCCTGGACCCATGGGCACAGTAGCAGCTGTGGTGGGACCGCATTTGGGCAGCAGCACGGAGGGTGGGGGGTGAGGGGCAGGCAGCCTGGAGCTGCATTTGGGCATCTTCTGTTGTGCCCTTTGCTCCAATGGCTGCTGTGCTGGGGCACCTGGGCTCTGCCCCATGTAGCTGTGAGCACAGGGCTGTCATTATGGGGCGCCTACAGGAGCCCCCCACCTCCCATAACTGAGGTGCACGTGGGGCCACTAGTCCTCACTGGGGCAGACGGGCTGAACCCCCTGGATGTCCCTGCATCCTGGGGCTGGGTCAGTGCAGCGGGTCCCACTCCCCTCTTGGTCTCCCCACAGGAGTCCCCGTCTCCGGAGTCACCCTGGGGGTGCAGCCCCGCAATGGGCAGGTGGTGGCAGGGGGGCGGCTGGTGCTGAGCTGCTCCGTGGCTGCGGGCACGGGGCCTCTCGCCTTCTCCTGGCACCGGGAGGGCTCTGGCCTGGCTCTGAGGACAGAGACTTTGCGCTCACGGAGGATGGACTACGAGATCTCTGCTGCCATGGAGAGAGATGCCGGGGAGTATTACTGCGCTGCCTCGAATGGCCACGACCCGGTCCTGAGCCCACGGGTGACAGTCACAATGTGGTGTGAGTGGGTCCCAGCTGACGGGAGGATGGGGACATGTTGTTTCCCTGGGGAGGACGTGACTCCCAGCAGTCCCAGGCCCTGTGGGGCGGGTGCTGGTGGATAATGGTGCTGGGGCCCAGGCTGCTGGGAGGGGAGGTGGGAGGCTGCTCCATGCAGGCAGCGCCACGAGGGAGGCGGCTGCGGCAGCAGGAGGCCAGGGGCAGCGGGGCGTCCCTGCAGGGTGCGGGGGCGCAACACCCACTTGTCACCGCTCTGGTACCATGGGGGCTCCTGGCAGCCAGGTCTGGGGCCACATTTTCATCCCACTGAAACCCTTCATCTTCCTGAAGAGCATTTTATGGCCACAGCGAGAAATATCTCTGGAGAAATCCCATGATGGGCTTTTCTTTCCCCTCAGCTCTCACTTGTCTCTTCCTCTTGCTCGCCCTGGGCAAGTGAGAAAGTGCAAAAAGATAGAGCGAGGAGCCGTGCTGGAGTGCTGTTCTGGGTGTGATTATCCAGGGAACGAACAAGAAGCAAGATGTATTTGCCAATGTCTTTTCTTAGGCCAACCTCACAGTTGGTTGGCACATTAGAGAAGATTTGGGGCACAAAATGCCCTTCCTTAGCTCTCAGAAAGCAATACTTTCTTAGGCCAACCTCACAGTTGGTTGGCACCTTAGAGAAGATTTGCCCTTCCTTAGCTCTCAGAAAGCAATACAAGCCACCTCAGCTAAATACGAGGTAGAAGAGATGCTGTGGCAGCCTACACACTGCCCTGGGTGTGTGGCCCCGGCCCCACGTGAGAGGCCAGAACGCCCCATAGCAGGCGTGGGCTCCACATGTGTCCATGGGATTCGTGCCACTTGACACGGCTGCTCCTAGCCGGGCCCAGGGCGTCCTGGAGCCAAGGGCTGGAGTTCTCAGGTCTCAGAGCAAACCCGTCCCCTTTCCCGGGGGAGCATCAGCACTGGGGTTTGGACTTTGGAAGTGCCCAGGAGCCCCCATGTGCGGGTGCTGCACAAACACGGACCCAAGGGCCAGCCCAGCTCCCAAGAGCTGACAGCTGTAGTGAGCAAAGGCCCCCTCCCCCATCCTCCTCCCAGCACCCTGGGACAGATGGAGCTGTGACGTGCCCTGGTCTCTCTGTCTGCCCCAGTGTCCCCGCCTGTCCTGACCCTTAGTGCAGACAACTTCTGGGCCACCATCGGGGATGCAGTGGAGATCCTGTGCAAGTTGCAGCAGGGCTCAGCTCCTGTGGTCTATCAGTTCATCATGAGGGAGTCCTGCTGGGGCTCAGGACAGTCAGTGCTGACAAGCCAGAGTCCCTCAAACTTAACCTGATGTCCACATGACTCTGGGGCCTACTAGTGCAAGGCTGTCAGTGGCACAGCTGGCAGCCCCCAGCACAGTGCCCCCTCCCACCTCGCTGTGCTAGGATACCAGGGGAAAATTGTGATAACCCAGATGGGAGGTGTCCTGGGGTACTGCAGCACTCACAAGTACAGCTGTGCATGGGCTGTACAATGCCTGCACAGACACAAGTCACTAATCATCCCTGTGCAGTCCAGGTGATTGTTCCCTTTTCCTTTGGGGTGCAGGTCCTTTCTTTATGTAGCTGGTCTCTTCCAAAGGCTGAAGTCAACCCCTTTCTTCTCAGTCCAGTCGGCTGATTGACCAGGTAGAACATCCCATGGATGGTACAAGACCTAGGTGGTTGCGTAGGTGTCAGCCTGGGGGAATAAAACATCCAGATCCAACAGCCTGGTTTTTTCCAGGCACGTTGCTCTTGTGCACTCTGATCTCACTGGTGGGAACAGGAAACATCGCCTGCTTGGAGAGCACAGGGGTCCTTCCGCTCTAAACCAGCTCTCTCTTCCTGTAGCAATGGTCACGGAGGGGCTTCCTTGCTAGGGCTGGGCCACCGCTTTGGAGCCCTGCAAGCTCTGCGTTAGGGGCAGGACGACTCTAGGGCAGCTGACTATGTTGGGTGTGAGGGACTTCTCCTCCCCTGCCATCTCACCCTCCTGCAGGAGGTCTGGGCACCGCTGCCGCTGGAGCCCACACAGCTGCTCGGAGCAGCACAGCATGGGGAGCTGGCAGGTGACACAAAGCCCCTGCCCCATGGTGCTCCCTCTTCCACCCCACTACCCCACCTGGGTGCAAGTGCCCTGCCAGGTCCCCTCTAGTCTGTCCCCATGGCCAGGGCAGGGCAGCTCCCTGCAGCCTGTTCTGTATGGTGCCCCCTCCTCCCTGCCCCATTGACTCCTCTCTTCTCTTTGTGAACCGGAGCTGGGGGCAGGAACCGTCCCCTGTCGCCTCCTCTCCCTCCAGGCTGGTTCTGGGCTCATGCCCTCTCCCTTGTGCTTGCAGTGCCTGTGACTGGGACCAGTATCATCAGAGATAAGCCAGAGCTGGTGCTCACAGTGGGAGAAAGCCTGAATCTCAGCTGCTCAGTGCAGGCGGGGACAGACCCAGTATTCAGGTGGCTTCACAACAGCCAGGAGCTGGACGCGGCCTCAGGGCCGGGGCTGCTGAGTCCTGTGGGGCACGTCCTGTATGTGGAGTCAGTGCAGCTGGGCCATGCGGGGAATTACCAGTGCATCGCCAGCAACCAGCTTAGTCTGGAGAAAGTCTTCCAGGTCTCCAGCGAGATTCTGGCCATCACCGTGAGAGGTAAGGCCAGGGCTGGCTGAGGGACAGGCTGGGTGGGGGCTGAGGTAGGACCTAGGTCAGGGTTATAGCCAGCTGCAGATGCAGATTCAAGACCCCGCTGGGGCTTTGTACCCAGCCTGGGTTTCATGGTGAGATGTGATGTGTTTGGGCTGTAGTAGCAAGAGAGCAAGAGGGATCCATCCTGGTACTGGTACCTCCAAGATCCCAGCCTGATCCTTAGCCAGGCTGTGCCTCTGTCTCACAGGTCGTAGCTGGGAAGGAGTTTTTGAACAATAATGCCCTCAGCAGGGTCTGGAGTCCCTGCCTGGAGCCTGGTCCCTTTTGGCGGGGGTGAGGTGGGGAGTATGAGGGTAGCAGGGAGGGCATCATTATGTTGTTGGGAAAGCTGGGAGGTGCCACAGCCTACTGACAGAGACCAAGCCCCGCTCAAATTCTCGTGGTCTGGCCCCCACGTGTCTGACACTGTTAGCAAAGGAGCACTGCTTCTTATGACCCCCAGTGCCCACAGTGCTAGGGCTGTTAAGGGGGCAGGAGGGGCATCCTCAGGGGCAGGAAAAAGAGCCTGCACTGGAAGGGAAGTGTCAGACTGGAGGTGGGTGGTCAGAGGTGCTGCTCTAGATCAGTCTCCAGACCAGTGTTACTTTCCATGAACAACCTTGTCACAGAAAGGAGGATGGTCTAGGGAGCTCTGCTAGTGACACAGCATGGGGGCATTGCCAAGAGAGGAGGATCCACGCATTGCACAGAAGAGCTGGGGTGACCCTGATTCCCTGGGAAATGGGGACAGGATGGGTCATGCATCTGGGGATGCTGTTGGAGGAGTGCTTTGGATGGGAAGGACTGAGGAGGAGGAAGCCCAGAGTGCATCAGTCCAATGCTGAATGGCTGAGACATCAGTGCAAGCTGCTGTGGAGAGTCCAGAGTGATGTACCAGGATGTCTCGGGTGGGCGCTGCCAGTGAAGACAGGGAAGGATTAATGCTGTGGCCTGAGGCTCTAGTGGCCTGTCGCCTGGGGCCACATGCAGAGCCCTGGGCACCGTGGGAGGGCAGAACGCAGACTGCGGCAGTGCAGGGGAGGGCTGGCGCAGCACCCGGGGAGTGGAGCACCTCTCAGGTGAGGCTTGGCTGGGTCGGGCAGGGAGGAGACATGCTGGGCATGGGCCTCACACTCCCTGTGAGCTGCTCGGGGGCAAGCCCTGGGGCGGGACAAGATCTTCTCAAGGGAAAGGCCAGTGAGGGCACAAAGGTGGATGGGAATAAAGCAGCAGGAGTTGCGGTGGCTGTGAATCAGAAGGCAGCTCCTGGCCCTCAGAGGTGTGGGGCTCTGGAGCTGCCATCCAGAGCCGTTGGGCACGAGACCCTGGCTCAGGATCCATTCCTGGAGGATCGTGGAAGATGCTGTCTGCAGTACCAGGGACTGGATGGATGGATGCAGTAAGCATCTCTCAGCTACTTGGTGCTGTGAATGGTGGGGGAGGCCTAAGCCTGTTTCCTTTGTCTCCCTAGAGGCCACGAGTGTCTGGGTGATTGTGGGCATGACTGTCGCCCTCCTGTGCTTGGTCAGTGCCGCTGTGGCTGCCATGTTCTACATCAGGCACCAGCAGAAAGCAGGTGGGTGTCTCCCTTGGCCTCGCTCTCACCATGCAGACCTCGCCATGCAGGGAGCTCCCTGAAGTTCACAGGCATTGCTGGCTGTGTGAGGATCTCACCCGCACAGGTGCTCATGGAGAGAGGGTATGAATTGGGCATAGACACAGGGATTCAGACTCCCCCTAAGTGTCCATGGTGCCTGCTCCCTGTCTACCCTGCTGAAGCTGTAGCCCATCTCCTGCCAGCTCCACAGGGACAACTAGGTCCAGGGTGCACCTGGAGGTCCTAGATCCTTACTGCTCCCAAGCGCTGCTCCAGGGGTTGGGGCTGGAAGCATGATCCTGGGCCCTGGTTCCAGCTCTTCCTCTCTCACCCCCGTCAGCTGCCCTGTCCTCAGCACTTGACACTATGCAGTGGAAAATGAACTCTCCATCACAGTTCTCACCACAGCTCCCTGAGCCCCTGTCTCTCATGCTCATGCACTACCGATTTTTAAAAAAATTTGTGTCTGGGGCTAAATCAGCCAAAGCAGTTCTGAATTCTATTGACTGAGTAGAGCTCCATCATTCAAGTCTGTGTGGCATGACCACCACCAAATCCCCTCCCCCAAAAATCTTCAGTCTGGGACTCCAAATCCAGGGCAGACACCCTACATGCAGGTCTTTAGCCTGGAGGCCTTGGAGTTCAGATGCTCCCTAGTTTCCTTTGTCCCAAGCCAAAAGACTCAAAGAGCAAGTGAGAGCGAAAGCCCAAGAGCAATCCCTCATCCCTATAAATTGTGTAGCTGAGGTCCTTGCCTTTGGAGGCATTTGTAGACTCTTGCAGGGGTCAGCCTGTTGGCAGTACAAGGGACAGGCCCTCAACTATGCTGAGTTATTTGAGGATGAGAAGAATGTGTCTCCCTTGCCAGATAAGTAAAACCATCTGGGCTTGACAGCTGGGGGAAAGGATCTAACACCCCTTTTCTCACTTGCTTTGCAGGGGAGACATGTTTCACTGCCTGGTGGAGGTGAGTGCAGCCCCAGGACCAGGCAGGTTGTTGGGGGTGGGGGTGGAATTGGGGTGAGTCCAATGTTGTCTTTTTTAAAGGGTCTTGGGTTATTCTGGGTGCTGACAGATGTGTAGCTCCCAGCTGTAACTCAGAGCACTTTGCATAAAGTGCTATGAGTTACAGCGATCCTCTTGACCCAACAGACATTTGCTATTGGGTCTAGGTGGTTGGGTGATTGAGCTCCAGTTTGGAGCAGCTGCATGTCTGCAGCTGCTCTCCTCTAGCCTGCCTGCCCCCAGCTCCAGCACTGTCCTTATAATGGCAGGCAGAGAAGGGAGGGGAGGGAGCTCAGGCTGGGGTTTGCCCAGCCTGTGCTGGAGGGTGGGGCTGGTGGATTGGAGCCCTCCCCCCCATGGTATGCACTGACACAAGTTAATGAAGATGCTCCACTTTGAAGTGCCTTCATGTGAACCCTCATGTAACGAGGGTTCAGACTGTCATGCGTTTGGACACTTATAAAGTACTCTGCAGCTGTGTACTTTTCATAGATTCATAGATGTAGGGTTGGAAGGGACCTTGCAGATCTTCTAGTCTGACCCCCTGCCTGGGCAGGAGAGAAAACTGGGCTCAAATGACCCCAGCTAGGTAATCATCAAGCCTCCTCTTAGTAAGGGCACAGCTGTGGAGTGCTTCAGGGGGCCAATTGCAGAACAAAACATCACTTGTATCAGCATCCTTTGTGCCCAGTGCCTGGGTCTTCTCTCAGCTGCTTGTGCTGCTGCTTCTTCCCCCAGTGACTATCAGACTACCTGGTTCTCACTAGTGTCACCACCTAAGGCTCTGCAGGTATCTGTCACCATCCCCTCTGCCACAGCCCCAGGCTGGGAATGGGAGGTTTATCCCTGGTGCATGCTGGCCAGTGAGTCTGAGGCTGCACACACAGTAGGGCATGCTCTGTCCAGGTTTACAGCAGTGACACTCAGGGTGAGTGGGCAGACAGGGTCAAACTGCATCACGACCCAGCCCAGGCTGTGGCCTCTCCTGTTAGCCAAAGTCAGTGCAGTTTTGGGGACCCTCTGGTCTGGTTTCTCAGTCTGACCCTGTTGGAGGTTGAAGGGAGGCAATGGAGTACAAGCTGCTGCTGACACCCCCAGCTGCTTGTGTGGAGACAGCAGAGTCAGTGTCCACTGACCCTGCACAGGAAGGAGTGGGGTCCTTGGGGGTAAGCTGGTCTAGGGATTTGCTATGTCTCTCCCTTGCTCTCAGCAATCAGCCTGGGATGGGGTGGAGGCAGCACCACGTGGACAGGGAGGTTTCATTGAGTTTCCTGAACTGCAAGCCCGATGTGGGCAATCATGGGGCAGCACCCTCCATGCTACCCACAACAGCGCCAGCTGTGAACTGGGAATCTAAGCTTCCCCCTAAGCAGCCGCTCGATTCCAGGGAAACCCGTCCCCGAGGAAGGTCATGGGGGGAATCCCTGCTGGGGGTGGGGACAGAGACTCCAGCAGGACCTTACTGAGGGCAGTGCTGGGCAGAGGAGCCATGGCATGGTGGACAGGGGAACCCCAAATTTTCCCTGCTGGGTCTCTGGCAACTGCTGGAGTGTTATGGGCCTATTTTTGTCCTGTCTAAAGCATGGGCCAGGTCCACTATGTAACAGAGTAGCCTCTGCGGCTACTGCCCAGTGGTGCTCCACTCAGAGATGGGAATGAAAGAGGCCCAGGACAATGGCCCTGCAGTCCCTAGGGACCCTCCTGGCCAGAGCCTTCTTCCTGGTCAGATAGACGGCCAGCTCCTGGCCAGGAGGAGGTTGACCAGGACTGGGGTGTTATGGGAGTATTTGAGACCAGGTGCAGAGACGAGTCACGTTGTTAGAGCAGGCACAAGGCTGAGACCCAGAACCACAGACCCTGCCAGGGCTTGATTCTTGCTTGCGCTGAGGACCGTTCTCCTCTGGCCAAAGCTTAGCTCCAGAAAGTCCCTTGGCATGAAGGTTAATCTGGGTCCCACATGTAAGTGCCTTCTTTGTCCTTGTCTCTGTCTCCCCATGCCCTGCTCTGTGTGTGTCCATGTTACTCCCCTCCGCTTACTGCATCTTCTCCTCCACAGGAACACCCTGGGCCCAGTGCAGCAGGAGCCCCGCACCCAGAGGCTGCCTCCCCCGGCAGCCGAGGCCACCACTGACCTGGATCCAGAGTACCACAATGGTAAGGCTTCTGCTTACTGGCTGCATGAGCAGCTGAGCCAAGCTGGGTGCTGGTGATCAGAGCAGGGGGTCGATGTCATGGGCAGAGGAAGCTGCCCAAGGCAGGAAATGTAATACGGATGTTCTCATGCTCTGGTCCCACGGCACCCATGTTTCATGAGCAGGCTGTGGTGCCCACTGGGAGGCTCTGCTCAGACCTGGCAGTATCTGTCATTCTGGAGGATTATGAACATCAGCATGAGGTGGGACCTTCCCTTCCTGGTCTCCTCTAGACACTTGCCTAGTTCCTTTCTCCATCTCAGGATCCATCTCCATCCCTGGCCCCTTGATAGGAGGAGCAGGAGGTCATGGACTCCAGGCTGAGAGCCCAGCACTAGAGAAATGTCTCACCTGGAACTGAACTGGCTGCCCTCACCCTCTGTCAGCACAGGCCAGCATATCTGCACCACCCAGGCAGAGTCACCCTGTGGACCTGGCACCTCCACACTGCCACTGTCCTGGACCACTTCCATCATGATGCCCATCAAGTGCCTCTGCCACAATTTCCAGCTTAGCTCCTGGAAGCAGGGCTTTCTGAGAGATGCCCGAAGGCTACCAGTGCCCTGTGGCACCATGGAGGAGCACAGCTGCACCATATCAGCTCATTGGTTTCCACTGGGGCACTGAGTTGCTGTGGCTGGAATGATCCAGCTCAATCAGAGCCCATCCCTGCTGAATTACAGCAGATCCCAGATGGTCTTGGCCAGCCTGCCCCTGCCTGGGGGCTTGGTGCCTGGGCTGCCTGGGTGGGACCGCAGCGGTCAGGAGCAGGGGGTGCACAGCACAGTCACTGTGCCTAAAGTCAACAAGGACTAAGTGAGCCCTGGCTTTTCCTTCTAGTGTGTCCCCGGCAGCAGAGCAGAGACGTGGTCTATTCCACTGTCACCTTCAAGAAAGGAAGCAACGGTGAGTGGCACAGAGCTGTGTCTTGCTGGAGACGCATGCATTTTTAAAATGTCCATTTCTCTGCCCATTCATTGAATTGATTAGTTTAAAAAATGTCCATTTAAACAGATTTTCTTTGCTGACTGACTTCTCTGGGAAACAGTGAAACTGTGTGTGTGGCTGTTAGCAGTCAGGCCTTTGTAGGCATGGGACAGACATTAGAGGGGGACACAGCAAAAATTGTGAAATGCTGTTTTCTCACCAGCATCTTGCAGTTCTTGTTACTGCAGTCATGGCTTGTCACTGCCGTAGCTCTAACGCTAACAGAGAAGTGTCACCTGCAAGTCAGAGGAGCCCTCTCAAACAGCAGGAAATATGGAGTGGGGTAAATCCCCATGGCCTTGGGCTCAGAGGCTGTCCTGCTCTTCAGGCTGCAAACTCCAGGTTTCTGGCTCCCCTGTGCCTGGCTCAGGCTGAAATCCTGTGGGGAATGGTGTTTGCTTTAGTGCTTGTCCCTTGGGGACCTCTGTTCCCATCTGAGACCAGGAGCACAGAGGCACGTGCAGGCATGGAAAGGAAGGGGAATGACCAGCCTCCAGCCCTCCAGAGCTTTGGTCGGGATTTGGTGCCAGGGCTGGTGTCAGCTGGCAGGGAAGCTCAGACACCTGGGGCCCCTGCTGCTTCATGTCCAGGTTGGTGGGATGCAGCTCCTAGGTTCAGACAGGGCTGGTGCAGGGGTAGGAGAGGGGCCTGGGGTCCCAGGTCCTCATTGTTGGGTCCCAGGCACAACAGGCAGCTTGAGCTGGTTGGGGAAGTACAGTGTGCTTGTGCCAGGGGCCCAGGGTGTGCATATTACTGCCCAGGCCTGATCCCTTTGTATCTCTCTCACAGCCAAGCCCACAGGAACCCCCAAAATGGATGATGTAAGTGTTTCTCCCCCACCCCCAGCCTGGTGCTCCCTGCCTACTGCTCTCATGGGGTGCCTGTCCATCCCTGCCCACCCCGCTCACTACCCCTGTGCTCTCTCCAGCAGGAACACCTTGTCACTTATGCTGTGCTCCCCAGCCTCAAGCCCTCCTGGGATTCGGCCAGCAGAGCGAGGGCATCAGAAGGGGGAGACCCATCCAGGAGTGACATTTATGAGAACGTTTCCCACCTGGACCTGCACCGACCCTAGAACGGCCCCTCAATGCCTGGGACCGCTGGGGCGGCTCAGTAACACCTCACTGCCCACTTGGCCTGCAGCACAGAGCCAGGGCATGAGGGCTGTGACCACAGGAGCTGATGCTCAGCCTGGTGCCTTTAGTGACAACAAAGCAGTGGCTAGGCTGCAGCTCTGTGCTGAGCGGCTGGTGCCATCCCTAAGGGCAGCATGCCCAGATGGCCAGGGCTGAGCTGCTGAGCTGTGTGACTGGCTGAGTTATGGCGTTTTGGCCCGGATGGAGGGAGCCCGGGTGGAAGCCGTAACCTGCTGTGTTCCCTGGAGCGGGGTCTGTGACTCTGCTGTCCTCACCCCAGAGGTTGCTGCTATCACAGACCTGCCCACTGAGGATGCCAGAGTCCAAGATGCTCCGTGCTGTCCTGCTGCTTGCCCCTAGGAAGAGACCAGCAGTTGTTCTGGGATAGCTCCGTATCCCCGCAAGCAGAAGTGGGTGGGAAGGGAATATTCAGGAATGCACCAGCCACAACACGCTGCTGCAGAGGTGTGGCCAGCTGAATTTAGGGTTTCAGCTTCTTCAACAATGGGGTGTTGTTCCAGGAAGATGGACTTCTAGGAAGAGATGGGGTCCACCTGATGAAGAGAGGGAGGAGTGTCTTGGCGTGCAGGATTGCTATCCTAGTGAGGAGGCTTTTAAGCTAGGCTTCCTGGGGGATAGAGATGGAGCCAAAAATCCAGAGGTAAATAAAGAGCCCAGAGAGCTGGATAAAAACTTAGTAAGGGGAAGTCATAATAGAAACCTTAGCGATGGTCTCCTGGAGAGGGTAGGACAATCAGATAGACACTGGAAATACTGGTGCAACAATATGAGAAACATCAGGAGCAAACAGGAAGAAGTGGGGGTCCTAGTACGCTCACAGAATTATGATGTAATTGGGATAAGGCAGAAGTGGTAAGACAGGATAGGCAGGGAAAACAGGTGATGGCCGCATGCTCCTCAAATATATTCAGGGGTAACTTTTTGATTCAGATGGTAAAGAGGCCAAGGAGGGTTGAAAGGTCTTGACTCATTGCTCAGAAACAGGTAGAAATTGGCTGAGCATATGAAGGTAAAAGTACCTGTGGTGAAAGTGGCCACGAAATGATAGAGTTTGTGAATGGGGACCTGGTGGACAGGATCCCTTGGGAGGCAAGTGGGAAGGGAAAGGCACTCAGGAGATCTGGCTGCACTTTAAGGGACTTCCTTAAGGGCGCAGGAGCAAGTTATCCCGACGTGACAGAAGAATGGGAAGTGCCACAGGAGGCCAGCATGGCCAGACAGGAGCCTTTTTCAGTTTCCTATAAAAGTTTCCTCTTTTTATAGGAAACTCAAAAAGGAATCCTATAAAAAGAGGAAATTTAGTCACAGTACTAAGGAAATGGTGGGCAAAGGGGAATAGCAAACCATCAGCTAACTTTGGGAGCATCAGCAGTTCACTTTGCGGCATGAAAGGGAGCCATTGTTTGGGCGCTGGGGGCAGGCGATGGGGCTGGCAGCGCTGCGGCTCTTCCTCAGACTGAGGGTCACTAGAAAGGCTGCTTCTTGGACATCCTCTGGTTCCTGCCTTCCCTCACACAGCTGTGCCTCCTCCAGCATGGATGGCAACCCTGGGGGTAGGGGGCCCACAAAGGGCTGTTCTCTGTAAATACTGCCACACCAAGGTTGGACACCAACAGAGATTGTACACTGCTGGGTGACACACATTTTGCAGCCCGGAGCAAACGACCACAGCGGTGCTCCAAATGCAGGGTGCATGCTAGGAAGACCTGTGGAAACAAGAGTGTGAAAAGTTGGGTGGTGTCTTGGGGAAACATTTGGACTGGCTTCGCCTGGTGTCATCTGTGGCTTGGTGTGGAAGCTGGGGACCCCTGAAGTTGGACACCTGGAAAGAATGGGCAGTGCTGGGTGAAGCCCATTTTCATGCATTGGGGGAACAGCTTTCAAGATGTGGGGTGCAGCTTGGGGACACAGCTCAGGAACTAGGGTGGGTGGATCCTGGGCACTATGAAAGGGCAACTGATAGGGGTAGCTTGCAACTTGCATGATACTGGGATGGTCCGGGGAGCTCCAGGGTTGGACACCGGCAGAGAATGTACGCTGCTGGGTGAAGCACAGTTTGCAGCCTGGAGCAAACGACCACAGTGGCATCCGTGCTAGGGAGACATTTCAGGAACTGGGGTGGGTGGATGCTGGGCAGTGCAAAAGGGGACCCAATAGGGCTACCCTTGCTGTGTGTGCTGTCAGCTCTGGCTTTGTGGGGAACCCTTAATTCAGATGACGAGTAAGAATGCATAATGTTGGCTGAAGCCCATTTTTTGCAATGGTGGATTGGTTTCCCAAAAGTGGTTGCAGCCTAGGGAGAGCCCAGAAAACAGGGTGGCACAAAACTGCATGCTGCTGAGACCAGACAGGAATAGGCAGTAGAGATGAGGAGGCAGTGCAAAGGACAGCTATGTTGGGCAGTGGCAGGGGAACAGTTTTTAGAGAGTAGCCTTCCCTCCACCCAGTTCAGATGAGTTCATAAGGATGACTTGACCTGGGGGCAACTATAGAATATGGGTGAACCACAGGGACCTAGAAGTGGGAAACCTTTGGGCTATGGTAATAGGGGAGTGTAGGTATGAACATGTCAGGCTAAAGGCTGCGTGTCTCTCACAACTGACCTCCAGCTGCGCACAGCTTGAATGCAGACGCATCCACACAGACTCCTGCTGATGAATCCTTGGCGGCATCTGTGGCAGAAATGCCACCGTCGGTGCCCCTCTCCAGAGACCTGTCTCTGCCAGCCTGAGAGGCTGCTGTTGAATCCCTCAGGGCGGGGATCTCGCTCCTTGTCTACATGACAAAAGCCTGGGGCCTGAATGCTCTGGTCACCTGGGCAGGGGCGGGGAAAAGCCCGGCCCTGCGCACGGGCCCAAGTAGCCAGGGATGCTTGGTAGATTGGTCGGCTTGTGGCCGGTATTGGCAGCTTCGATTGGACCAGGCTGCTGAGGTCAGAGAGGTTATTTAAGGGCCCAGGCCAG